TAAATTTTTAGTGACCCAGAAGCTCGCTTGCTATATTTGTTTCAAGTTTATTGTATTTGGTTCCCAAGAAACTATGTTAAAAGTTTAACATTTAGGAATTTTAGACGAAACGTAAAAAATCAGAGTGTAGTACATCATTCTAAACAGGAAAAAATTCCCGAAGTGTAAATTCACTCCCTTTTGCTGTCAAATTGAAATTTACGTTAAACATATTCAAATTCGTCTTTTAACTGCTTTAATAATCTGCCTTTTTTTAGTACTATTAGCTCAATTGAGTTTCATTTAATTATTATGCAAATTAAAAGAGTTATCCCTAAGGTGGCTCGATTTTCAGATTCGGATTTAAATTTACCAACTTCTCCATAATTTAGTTAGGACAAACAGTCAGGAGCGAACACTAGACGCTGTGAGTATAGTTTAATTCGAAGTAGTGTAACGTAAATTTAATTTTACGTGCTTTATTTATTTACAATTAATTAACAATAAATGTATCTCAGTCTTGAAATGAATTGATTTAAATCAGTTAAAATGTTGTTTATCGCTCACTATACACAATTTACGAATTTATTACTTCGGCATTGAAATTGAAACTGAACTGAAACGCAATTCGATTTGCTTATATAGCAGACGGTAATTGTTCTAGAATGTTCTTAGAACGTTTCCGAATGTTCTACACCTCATTTTTTCCGGAAGGGTTGAGTCACATCCGCCTTCGTTCATTATCGCCGTTGACCAATCCTTCATGGTACCTCGATGTCTATCGGGATTTCTGGAATACTCTCTACAGTAGTTCTGTGTGTAACCAATCGACCATGTTAAATGGTCTTCTATGAACATTTTTGACTAGTATAATCAAAAAATTCGAATCTAAATATCACGTAACCAAGATATTCGCACTTTTATGAGATGAACCATACCTAACTTAATATCAATAAGCGTATATACATTATAGATGCGCTATACCAAAAATTCCATTACTTGGTATTCAAAATATGCGGTTGGTGTTCATCCCAATCGTGGCACACTGCAACCAAAAATATTTCATACATTTTTTAAATTTTTAGCGCATTTTTGGAAAAAATACGCTATTATATTCGTTATGGCTGGCTGACCGGCTGTCCGGGTGAGATCTCAGCAACTACAATAGCTAGAGACTTCAAATTTTCACTAAAAGCTTTCTGATATAGTGTAGATGTGTAGGCTCTACTCTATTTTGAGTTAGATTACTTGTGAGATCGATAATTTAAGAAAATAATTTCGATATGGTTTTCGGAGGTTCTATAATTTTACCGTTAGATAGCACTACCAGCATAAAAACTTAATTCTTTACTTTGTAATTTGTTTTACAAAATAAAGACGTGCCCTCAATTGAAATTAAATAAAATTAATTATTTAACGCAGCCAAAATTACTCGTGAGTCCGTGAGATCGATAATTTTAAACTTCGCTAATAAAATACTGACCTGTAATATCAAAAATGCTCATTTACAACTTGTTTTTCTAATTTGTACCGTATATCTACTACTTGACAGCGGTCTGTGGCAAATAAAAAATAAAGTTTGAAACGTTCTGCGACGGCTTTATTTTTTGCATTTCGAATATTGAAAAAAATTCTCATGTATCATCAAGTCAGTATTGTTGATTTTGGAAGACTTTGTGAAATTCAAGTCAACGGAGTCATAGATACAGGGCTAAAAAGAAAAGTAGTCAATCGTCAAAAATTTTCGAAAATCTTGAATAACTTCAACACCTTTGATGCTGGGTATAGGGAAATGTGATATCAAACGACGTCGATTTTCATGTAGAGTTTGAACGTGCAATTACAAGGTGTTCTATTTAAAATAAGATAGTGATGATAATATTTTCTTGCGATACATCATGAAAAGCTATGTTGGTATCCTACGTTTCAGATTTAAATTGTAAATGTGAACCTGAATACTTTAGGTAACGGCCTTTCCGGCTAAACTTGCCTTTATTAGTTACAAGTTTAAAAAGTTCCTCCTAGCCCAGCTACTTAGGGAAATAAATCCCTGATAGCTTTGGGAGTTAACATGCAATTCTATAGTACAACACATAAAGTAGGAGGCGCTTTTGTGCTCAAAAATATTTTCCTGACAAAACCAGAGTGTACCTTAACATTCGATATGTCTTGTATATTTTAAACCATTTTTCGATCGCTACCTTACGACAATTATTACGCCCATGTTAAGTTGTTATGGGAAGATTCATATACAGGGATTATCGTAGCATCAAAAATAGTTTCTCCATTTACTCTACCTACAGTACCTTACTACAAAATCAATTTGTCCCACATTTACAGAAAATAACAAGGATTTTAAACAAATTTATCAATTATCAAAAGTTAACCTGTATACTCCGTTACCTAGTCTATGACAATCGGTTTCACTCATGTATTTTGCAAGCGCACGTATAGATTTTTCAATTGCGTACTACACATTATTCTGCTAATCTTACCGGCTAAAATAACACTTTTAATCGTTTTCTACCGGCGCGATCGCATAGAACTGATGACAGTGTTAAAGTTTTCCCGTAAAACAAAAAAATTCGTAAAGGTGGTAATAATAGATTTATCATTTGGTCTAAGTCCAGCTGCGATGCAGTATCACTCCTCTAAGGTAATAATTATTGTTAATTCGACAAAATAGGTCAAGACATAAGCAGGAGGACATTAATCCTACGCTAATTAAACGCTATTCATAAAATTCTGGAGCGTAAGCCTTGCGGTATGTGCTGTCGCCTCCATCCCGTGCTTGAAAATATCCTTCCTTTATTCCGTCACTCGTTAAGTGTAACCAAAACAGTTCTGCATATCAGTTTGCTGTAATCAGTATCGTTAACAAAAATAGGCCCTACAATTAATACGCTATAACATCATGATTCTAACTTTTAACTGATGGCAAACTAATCTCTTCAAAATTATGTGGATTCTTCAGTTGTCCACGTCGATAATCTTTACTTATTAATGTAACCAAGATAAATAAAACCGTGCTTTCACTCGGCCATAAAAGTACATTTAAAATAGTAGTGTCTAAAAAAGCAGTAGTAAAGTAACTAAAAACGTTCATCACCAATTCAACACCGTAAAAACACTTAGAATCGTACGCGCAAATGGTCCAAATTGTCTTCAGTGTATGACTCACCGGTATATTAAATGTTAGAGATATTTAACCTCGCCCGCACCCCTTGGCTGATGTACCAAAAACTTTAACGTTACCCATTTTGCCAATTTCGCCCAAGTGCAGAGGTCACTCTCGCCGATTGCATAAAAATCATAGCACAGAACGTATGCATTACTAAGCTCATCCAATGCAGAAAATGTCAATACGGTAGTTACCGTTCCAAATCTGAGAGAGATCAACGGACCATCGTGTCCATTGACGCACCGTAAGTTTCAAGTGAGGCAATTTTTGTATAAAATTTGTTTAAAATTTGGTTGCCTGTCATGACCTGCTTGATTACCATCCAGTCCTGTAACGTACCAATAATAATACTTTTCGGTACATTCATCAAGAGTAACGAATTCGCATGATGTGGTAATTAATTCCCGCCATCTCTCTCCC